GAACCCTTTGAGACCCTAGCCATCCTACCTCATTAGTCTTGGTCCCATACTCATGATGGCTGAGTTTTAGGTGTTAATTGATGTCTAATTAAGCTTAATTTAGAGTTAATAATGATTTGAGCAAGTTTAACATTCCTTATTCATAAGCTAGTGCATCATGGGCATGAATTGTTTAATGTGAGTGTGTAAGGTCTTGTTCCCCATCATTCTTAGTGCCATGACGTGAATTCTCCAGCCCTTTTCAGTCCAATTCCGTGCTCCATGAGACCATAGTGCCCCACTTTCACTCAATCATGCAAAGAATCATGCATTGGAAATGAGTTGGTGCAAGTTTTGTCTCCCACTTTGTCTCCATTGCTAGCCTTGTTTGTAACGCCCAAGGACCAGCTTATAAGGCCTACATTCAGCTCCTAGAAGACTTCACTTGATTCCCCAACACTTAGTAAATACTAGAGCTTAAACTCCTTCAAAGCATCAAAACCGAGAGTGAGTAATTTAGAGCAAGCAAAAATCCCGAGTGCACACTTGTGCTTAGTTTCAAGTTCTATGCATCAAACCTTCATCCCCTTAGCATAATATCACTCTTAACTCATTATACACTTCTCATAGAAGTGTTTTGAGGCTTCAAGTTCAATAAAAGTCGAAGAGATTAAGCTCAAATTCGAGAGCAAGAAGAGGAAGGCAACATTCGAGTATACCAGACTTCTTTTGCCTTTTCATGAAGATTAAGAGGTTGGTGTGCTCAAATCTTTCTAGAATTTTAATATAGATGAGATAAGGAGTAAAATGATATATATATGTGCCATACATTTATGTTTTTAAGTAGTTATAGGCATGCAAGAAGTTAAAGTCGTCCTAGCTCGCATGAGTGTTTCTTATGTGTTGTTTGCTTGCATTTTTGGCTATGCTATGAAAAACCTGAAAAACTATACTTTATATAGCTGTTTCTTGTGTAAAAGGGGAGTTCATAAGATCAAGAATCAAGTCGTTTAGACTAGTATAACTCGAGTTATAGACTTTTGAAGATAAGTATGCATGTTGATTTTATATGGAAAATTTCAGCTACGACTTCAAACGCGAATAACTCGAGTTCTACTTAGGATAAAATTATAAAATTTTTTGGAAATGTGTATATATGTGTTATAAGTCTGCATACCAAATGTTATGATTTTATCTTAAGAATTGAGTGAGTTATGATTTTTACAAAAAGATTGTGCAAGCAGTTTTTGAAATTTCGGGCAGAATTGAGAATCATGATGTTGGGCCGTTTTTGACAATCTTAATGTGACTATGTGAAAATATTATCAACATGAAACTTGTAGTATATGTTATAAGGTTTCTCTGAGAGTTGGAATCATGTTAGTTGGAGTTGTGTTTGATTTTATATGATTTTTCAAAGTCGGGGTTATGCCCAGATTTTTAAAACAGTGGCTGTGTTTACGATTGAAATGTATGCT